TAAATACAGTGTTCGAATAAAGGACATAATAATACATCGTGTAGCATAGCTCTCAACGAATGTAGTCCTGTAAATAAATGAATAAAGAAATTGTGTAATAAAATGCCTCTGGCTTGACTCAAACCTGCGACCTCTCGCTGTCAAGGCGGGCCTCATAACCATTAGACCACGGAGGCTTCATGGTTGAACAGATTCAAATACCACCAGATGTACTCCATTACACAATAAGTACGGCTAGAAACAAAGAGTTGCGTATAATATAAATTTTCTCCCCTGAATCCTTCGAGTAAACGTTGGTATAGGCTTACTGAATGTGTTACTCCATATAAACCAATCTTAACAAAATAGGGATTTTGTTTCCTCTTTTTTCGTGTACTTTATATAGGATTCTAATACATACCACAACATGCCCTATTAATTCTAAGTCGTTACTCTATTCATGCTTCATTAATTCCCTAATAAATCCAATAGAAAGCTCAATATTTTATATAAAAAAGGAATATTTGGTCATTAAAATTGCAGTATGAAATTCATATTGTGAACATTTTATTATTATTATTATTTTATTATTTATATCATTTATACAGCGCATTTTCTTTGTAGATACAAAGCGCTTCTTTTTCCCTGGTCATTGGGTTGGGAGTACTGTAGGCAACCCCACCAGGTACACATTTACTTCTGTGTGGAGAGAACCCATGCAGTGATGGTTTGATTAAATTAAGAGGGAATAACATGTACCATACAGGTCTGTATGGTCTACCTAAGCAATGCAGATAAAGTGCCTTGCTCAAGGACACAAGCCAAACGTGCAGTACAACGAGGGACTGAAACCCCGAAATCTAGGTTTATTTAAAGATATACCGGTATATATTTATATATATATATATCTGTCTCTTATACACATCTAGATGTGTATATATATATATATATTTAACTATTGTTGTTGTTTTAATTACATTTGTGCTGATTTCATATTGTAAATATTATGTATTATATTTACATTGAAAATTGTTGCTATAAATTAGGTCTAATTCTACTTAGCTGATTCTTATGTCAATAAAAATAAAACTATACAGAATTTATGTCATCATTGTATGAAAACATGCCAAAAACCCCTATTAAGGGGACAATTTTGCGTTTGTGGCTAGTGTCTCCTGAATAGGGGTACCCCTATTCAGGGGACACTCCTATTAAGGGGACACTTTTTTGGCCTTGAATGTGTCCCCTTAATAGGGTTTCTACTGTATTTCCTTTTATTAGAGCATTATATTCTGGTAAAGTTAGAGTTATTGTTAATAATGTTCTGGTTTTGCAACCTACTTTAAGTATACATTCAATTATATGGGTTGTTACATTGTTTCCATTTAATGTAGTTTTAAAATTACTGTACGCGTTTTTACTTTAGGAGTCGTAGTTGTACGCATTTTGTCCTCTGATGTAGGCTTTGATGGATTGTTCTGCTCTTTATTATGTCAATACTTTTTATTTCAGAAATTTTCAGTACGTGAGAATCAATGATGAAGTCTGCAGTGACAACTGTACTCATTCTAGCATCGCTTGCTTCTGCAGGTAAGCATAGGTCTGATGATCTAGTTACCAGTGTCTTATTATTTTTATGAATACAAAAACAGCCTTGCATATGCTTTTCACTTTTTGTTTGCAAGTTTTCTTCAAAATATAGTTTTTAATAAATTCTCTCTTTATTTTCAATTATGATTGCAATTTAAATTTATTTCAATCACAATTAAGAGTGAAAGACAGAATTGCTTGTCATGTACAATCGTTTAAAATGTAGGCCTATAACAGTTATTTATAAGTATAGATATATTTAATGTCTTTTAAGCATTTCACAAATATTCTTATGAAAAAAACACGTAGGTAGCACTTTTTTTAAACTAACGATAAATTTTATTTCACGAGCTTTCGCCCCAGCCAATGGGGCTTCATCGGGTGTGTGTGGTTCCCATGATAAAGAAATATTCGTCGACACCAAATTGATAGCATTGGATCATTGGATAAAGCTTAAACAAATATATTACGACAAACAATAAATCTGAATAAATAGTGAAATAAAGAAGTTAATCCCTAAAGTTAGCAATGGTTGTGGCAATGAGAGGCCTCCCCATTGTCCCAGACAGATAAGCGCTGCTATCATTGCTAACTTTAGGGATTAATTTCTTTGTTTCACTAATAAATCAGATATATTGTCTATCATATTATATTGTAATCCGATCATATCAATTTGGTTTCCATGAATATTGTGCACCCTGATAACCACTTCACTCGCCCGATGGAGCTTCATTGACTGAAATAAAATCTAGTCAAAAAGTGCTACTACCTACTGGTTTTTTTTTTTGTCTTTACTGACTAATATGCCTACAACTACTGTAGCTAATTGACTTTCCCAGCAGTAGCTGAAAAAGTAATTGTTTTTGTTCTGTTTTTTTATTTCATGTATTTTTTTTTTACTTACTTTTTCCCTATCTTTTTGCACTGGGTTATTCCGCCAGGAATTTAGTCACTTTCTATGATTGCATCTTCACCAGAACTTTGTCCAAGCATAGACCATATATTAAAAAATGTGTCTTCCAATTATAGTTTGTGACCAATTAAAGGGATTTAAGGGCAAACATCCAATACCAGATAGGCCTATTTCAAAAAAGGATAAACTGATCTGAATGAAACTAGGCCTATTATGAAAGTTTAACCAAGTTATAAGTCTGGTGACGATGCAAAGTCATGGGTGAAGTTTGGGGTCATTTTAGTTGCTAACGACCAAGACCTAAATATCTCTTAATAACTTATAAAATAGATCTAAAGGAAATTTTCAAAAATATTTTTTCATAGTCCAATGAAGAAATGATTAAATTTTGGTGACGATCCGGAGTGTGGTATTGATATGGACCATTTAAAGAATTATATTGGACAGTTCATTAAACTATATAAACACAATTAGCGTTTTCTAAATCGTTAAAATCAACTGCAGCTATGTCAAACGCAAATTTACCGTGATATGCATGGATAATTTTCGCTTTCAATCACTGAATTACTATAAACTACAAAGCATTAACTTACGCAAGGTCGGTTCATATAGCACACAATGGTTATAAGTCTCCATATTACTCTCGGTATTACCATTTCAGCTACCGTTCGAGTGTTACTAACGTCAAAGTAGTTTTCTTCTTTTTTCCCTTAATTTTTACTTATTGGCTTTTGGCATTAGTGGAAATAGCCGTTGTTTTTGTTCTAGCTTATTTTTGATCGCGTTAGTTGTAATGTTAGTTTTCATATTTTTTTAACTTCATTCATTTCTTTACTAATATTCAGTATTTTTGTTTTTTAATGTGTGTTTTACTTCATACTTTTTAATGAATTTTTTTCGTTGCAATTTCTAACATCATTTCTCATTATGGCAATGCGATTACCAGCCAATTTAAGGGACTATGCAATAAAATCTAGCAAAGCTATTATTTAACCGTCTGTATAGGTGAAGATTTAAATTAAATAGATTAAATTCTTTTAATTGTAAGACTTTATTTTTCTCTTATATGGTGAACCATCACCTTTTATTTATTATCATCATCCTCATCATCATTATAAGGTAATCTGACAGTAATCATCTACCGTATATAGGGGTTTTTTCTATTTTCATTCCTTTTTCCCTTTTCCATTTTCAAGATTTCTAAAATTTATTTAGAACACTTTTTTTCTATAGAAAAAAAAAATTCACTTATAATAAATGAAAATATTATTTCATTAATAATTTGTACTTTAAGGGTAATTTAATAACTTACTTAAGCAATCCAATATGCAGTTGGTTTTTTTTTTCAAGTTTTTTTCAAATAATTTAAATATAATAAGTAGGCTTTAGTTTGTATGTTTTAGTCTGCTCTATATTCAATTTTGATGTATTTTCAGCAAATGCACTGCAGTGCTATACATGCAGCAGTCTAATAAGTTCTTCTGGTTGCGGTGAAAATGATTTTGACCCTAATACAGCCTCTAAGACGACATGTGCCAACAACGAGGTTTGTGCGGTACGTAAACAAAGCTTTTTTTTTTTTTTTTTTGGGTAGCAGTCGGGGCGTGGGAGGATATTATTGTCTAATTTTATATAATGATTAATTTTATTGAATGATATGTGTATGCGCCTTCTTTTTTTTTTGGGGGGTAGCAGTCGGGGCGTGGGAGGGATATTATTGTCTAATTTTATATAATGATTAATTTTATTGAATGATATGTGTATGCAAGTGCAAAAATACCTAATAAACAAAAAAAAAATCTTTTGATGCAACTTTCACAATATCCATGCGTTTGTGTTTGTCTGAAACAGGTGTTTAACCATAATAAACACTAGGGAGTCGAAAACTAAATATGAAGTACCAGTATTCGTCACGTTGCGACATTCGAGGGTCGTTGCCCAGAGAGGCGTGAGTTTAGGAGGGTGTCCCTCCCTCTGGTAAAAATAATATAAAAAATCAGGACTCTTTAAATTGTTTTTTAACGGTGAATGTTTTTCAGCCAAACTGTGATTTATCTAAATATCACATTTACGTAGAGTAATGATTGTATATGTTGTTTATTAACATATAGACTTCTGTTGTTGCTTCCTTTCCAGAAAGCCGTTGTTGGAGATGTTGTCTCACGTGCTTGCAGCCCTATAGGTGAAGGACTAACAGATAACAAATGCTTTCCTGTCGAAGAGGCTTCTACGAATATTTGCTATTGCTCTACTGATTTGTGCAATAGTGCATTGAGCAAAAATCTTGGTCTTGTCTTAGCCTTCATTGCCTTTATGACCGCCAAGTATCTGTAGAGCCAGTGACTTACCTGTATCACATATTCCAATGGCTGTTTGTAGTATCATTTTAATAGGCCTACACGTGCTCTTTATTTGGCATGTTAGCTTAGCTTTAATACTTTTACAATATACATATAGCGACATATAAGTGAGATACGATATGGAATGATGTGTTTATTACGAGCTAAAAATTAGAGTTTAATGCCTGTTTGTAGTATCATTTTAATAGGCCTACACGTGCTCTATATTTGGCATGTTAGCTTAGCTTTAATACTTTGACAATATACATATAGTGTGACATATAGGTGAGATGCAATATGGAATTATGTGTTTATTACAAACTAAAAATTAGAGAGTTTTAATGCCAATATGTATGAAATAAACCCTTAAGCGTTTTACAGTAATGTTTTAATGATAGGCCTACATTTTGAACGTTAAAAAAAGTAGAGGAATCTGCGAGTGTGAAAAGCTTTACCACACAGGAAGACGCCTGAACTAACATGGCCATTCAGGCTTTGTTTGTAGTACATTATAATATAATATCATATATAATTATATTACATGCATTGACAGCAGACGGTCCTGGTTTATGTATATATAATTTCCCCCGCTATTTTGCTCTTCGGACATCCCTTCCCCGTGACATTTTCCCCCCACCCACTAGGAAAACTAGGACAATTGCCTCCCGGACTCTCCCCCCCCAACCCCTCTTTTACTTCATGCGCTAAATAAAACAAGAATGTCTATACAAGGAATACATCAAGATTTATCGTTATTTTCAATAAAAAAAAATCTTTATTTTTTAATTGCATAAGTAACAACAATATTTACATGGGAAATATTCATACAAAATGTATCTAAATAATATTAGAAATGATTTACCGTACAGAAAGTCTTCTAATTCCCCGTTCAGCAACCTTTTATCAAATATTTAACACTCAGCCGCGACCCTTCGACCTCAAATTATCCTGAGAAATATTGGCCAAATTATCCTAATTATCCTGAGAAATATCTGCCAAATTATTAAATATTTTATTATTGTGGCCTGCTTTTAGCAACGGCCTTGAGTTTATTGTTACCTTACATCATTTGATTTTATCTTTTTTTGCTAAGTTTCTATAGAATTGCTCACCCTATCGGAGACAGTCGCCGACTGTTGTAGGGAAGGTTAAACCTGGTTCAACTTTGCCGATTGGGTTGCCGACGAATCGGGGTGCCTTAGAAATGCACCCTGATTTGTCTGCAACGCAATCGGCAAAGTATTTTCAACCTTCTCAACAACTGTCACCGATGGGGTGAGCGATTCTATAGAAACTAAGCTTTAAAGAAAGATTTCATTTAAATGTGAAAAAAATGAACATACCTAGTTATACCTTGTTATTTTGCTTCGATATTTTCTAGATTCGAGGACGTATATTTACATTTTGATCACTTGCGAGAGATATCGATGTTTAATGAATTACTTTTTTGAGAAGTTAAAATTTGAACGTGTATATTTTGTGTCACACAAAAGATGATCATCAAATTTAATACCTAGGCCCGTTAGTGCGATGGTTTACTTCTCGACAGAAAGTTATATTCAATCCGACACTGGAGCGGCGATAATGACATACTCCTCAAGTTAGCATAAAGGGCCACTGTTTTCAGTCTTTTTTTCGATAATTTTGGGCAATTTTTGTTGGGCGTATTTTAGTAGTAAATTCGCGTGTTATGGACAATCCGAACATAAGCATATATAATGCTCGTATAAGACGACCCCACGTTTTTCAATCATAATTTGCTATTTTAATATTTGATCTTATACGCGAGAATATACGCGACGATTGAAATCCAGCCTTACATATCACGTTGTTGTCGTAAATGGCATTAGAAACTTTGTTGCAACCTGGTTGATGTCTTTTTTTTATTTTATATAAAAATTTACAAATGGCTCCTGTTTAAGTCAATGTCAAACTAATGCCTGGGTTTTCTTAAGAATCGCTACACTATTTGTACAGTTTTTTTTCTGCAATCTAGCAGAATAGCACTGGCGTAGTAGTCTCCGACAAAATAGGGAAAGCTCCCCGATACGACCAATTTTGTGAAAGCGACGATTTACATGCATCGGGATTCGGTTGTTGGCATTCTTTTGTCGGCACTTTCGTTTTTACCATCAATTATACCAAGGTGTAAAAATGTGGAATAACTTCTCATAACTATTAAATTCTTAAAATCATATTTCTTTTTTCAAAAGGCAGCTCCATAATCAACTCAACAATAATAATATTTTTACCTGTAGCTAAGTTAGTTAATTCTGCCCTTCTGTTTTGTATGGGGATTCATAGTAAAGGCTCAGCCTGTTTTGAATGCCAACCGATATGAGTGTCAACCGATAGTATATGATCACGTTCCATGATAGATTATATCCACAGAGTGCCCCTAAGCCAAAATTTCAAAATTGAATAAATTGCGTTTTTCCGAATCACGACACAATGAGTAGATTTAGGCCTACTGGTTAAAATTTAAAAATTTAAGATTTTATTTTTAAATCACAGAAAATCACAAATTTATATTCAGTACATTCTCGACTGTCTTGGAAATGTGGACCTTATGTTGGGTGCGTTATAAACACTTAACACCCTACACCTACTGGGTATACGGGTCTGAAACTTTACATTTGAATTTCTCTTGCCAATTAATGCAGTATTATACGCTTATTAGACATCTTCTCAATTTCTCAGCATTTAAAAAAAATAATCTTTTTCCACTTCCAACGTTGTATGATTTGAAATTTACATACAATTCACGTCGTTGCTCTTCTTCCGATTCCGTGTTCATGTTCAGTCTCTCAGTGCTCGGTGGTCATTTTTTACTTTCTTTTTAGATGCGCTGTATCAAAGTGTGTTTGTAAGTTTTAAGCTCTATGTCTACAATTAGGCTACCAACTCCATTAAAAACTTGGAATAACAAAATATAATAAAATTATTATGCCTTTCAATAAGTTTATAAGAATCAACGAACATGTATAGCCTGATTGATTTTGTATTAACCATACATTGTGACATAAATCATAATAACAATAAAAGAACTCAATAGTGTACCGCGCCTGCTTCTTTTGTCATTGAACACTAATTTTGTAATTTTGAAACCGTGTTATAGTAAATAGCATTGCATTGTGGGATGTGTGGTCAAATCAACAATTTGTTTTTATCCCCAATGCTGAGGAGTGCATGCCTTAAATGTCTGTACATTCTGTCCAGCCCATTGTTTTGTTAAAACTACAGTAGGGTTATTCCTTATACATTCGGTCTCCCACTAGAACAGTAGAAATTAATAAACACATCTGCCGTAATTTAACTTTTGTTCACAATAGAGCTGCAATTTCCAAACGAAAATTATAATCCTGACAAAATTTCAAAGATTACAGTCTTATGTTTAACTTGAACATCTTAATCAATTGATGATATTCTGCATAATATAAGCAGGGAGATGTTTACATCTCCCTGTTATAAGGCTCCAATGAACTATGCAGAAAAGTTTTTCCATGATAAACTGTACTGTACTCTTCTTGGTGACCTCGACTTGTCAGTGATTAATTACCACTTGATGTTGCCTGCAGGCACAAGTATGAATGAGTAGTATTAAAGTGCGAGGCATGCAAGGCAGCGAGGCAAAACAACGATTCATGCGAGGCATCGTTTTACCATTCCCAAAAGTGAGAGGCATAACAACATGTATGCGAGGCATCGTTTTACATGGAAAATATGCAGAGAACAACGAAAATCCAATATTTAATAATTATGCGTGATAATGTTAAATAATAATGTAAATTTGCTACTTAATTTGATTTGCAGTGGATTTATTTTTCTCCGCCTAGGCCTAAAGCTGCATACAGGCAGTACATCGCTGATCACAAGGGCAGATCCAAGCAGATCTGCGATCTGCTGCATTATTTTTTCCACATACTCTGGTTTAGGGCAGAATTATAGAGGGCGCTATTTAAGGTCTTGGGTTCTTGGGTATTCAATGTGTTCAGATCCTTGGGTATTTTATTTTAAAAAAAAATTTTTTTTTTGTCATAGAAGAAGAATAAAGAAGTAACAATGTATATTTCAGTCAATTTAAGTAAACAGAAGTCAACGAAGTGCACATAATATTGTTAATTGACTTTTAATTGCTAAAAACATGAGTTCAGAATTGTTTATTGTAATTTGCGTTGCTATTGATCTTAACTATAATTAATGCACACATAATAAAATTTCGTCACTGATCTACTGATAACGCTACTGGCCGACTGAGGGGCGTAATTATCTATCGTTCCTATTTCCTCATGAATATTAATTTTAATTATTAACACAGACAATTACAATAAAATAGAGTTTATAAAAGCAAAAGGGAAACTATACATATGAAAACCCCGTTTTTAATGGATTTTCTGTAAACTTAATTTTGGGCAATTTTTGTTGAATCTTGGGTAATTTCGTCGCAGACCTTGGGTATATGAAAAATTGCGAGTGGTCACCCTGGTTTAGTGAGATGTATGAATACCAGCTTCACTCCCATACATAAAAATTCTATACAACTTTATAGAACTTCTATAGAGTCTAATCAATTTCTACAGAAATTAGTATTTTCTATAAAATTGTTTTATAGAGGAACTAGTTTCTATAGAATTCTATAACATA